TTCAAAAGATAGATTTTATTAAACTTGACCTAATAATTATAAGCAAGGGCTAAGGGTCTGTTTGTTTATAAATTATCACAATTCATACTCAATCCATACTTAAAATCTAACTCAAATTTAACTCAACTCCATTACCTTCAATATTATCAATATAATTGAATAATATCAATTAATCATTCTTACATACCATATCAACCTTAATTCACTATTCATTCACTCACATAATTTTAACTAGTTATCCCTCTACATAATCTTTCTCTTATTTTTATATCCAATCAATTTTTATTTTTTATTTTAAATATTATGTTAATATAAATTCAAAATCACATTAACAACTAACTATTCTAATTTTTTCAAAATTAATCGTGATTAACTATAAAAACTTCGTTTTGAGCGGATGTATTTGTATCCCAGCACGTCCTAACTATGCTTAGTTTGTACTCAATTCGAAAGTTCTACATTTAATTTTAACATGGTCTTATTTATTTTTAATCAACTTAATAATTAAATTAGTTTTATATATTGGAATAATAAAATTAATTGATGTTTACTAAAACCGGCAAAATATGTGATAAAATTGTTTGAATCGGTAGAACCGAGTCACGATGATTTGTCAGGTTCTTCGGATGTAGGGATGAAGTTAGTCTGCTTGTATGATTGTCACTAGGACATTTTAAAATACTATATGTAATTTTTTAACTTGTGTATATCATTAGAATTATGACGTAGTCGTGACAAATGCTTGAGGTGTAGAAGGTGACAATAAAAGAGAAGGCTTAAAGGAGCCAAAGGTCCAATGTATTTCAACTCAATCCATGATGACCTCTCAGATCTTTTATATATCCGTTTAGTGTGGGGAGATAATTGGAGAAATGAGACATTTTTTGTTACTTTTTCCATTTTTAAGCCCGCACATCTAAGTTGCTTTTTACTTGGGGTCAACTAGAAAGTAGGTTGACAAAAATAGTCAAAGAGACGCGTTTATATCAAAATTAGTACGTTGCATAAAATGATGCATAAAATAGAAATATTAAATGAGTTATTTTCACAGGTTCTGTCCGTTTATGATTAAAATGTAATAAGGTTAACATCTATTTTCTATCTCTTTTAATAAATGTTAAGTCTAAAATATGATAGGATTATAATATCTTTTTCACTTTTTTTTAATCAACATTATTTTTTAGTCATATCATTAAATATGAGCATGTTGGGGCTAGCTTGTAATATAATTAATATATTATCTCACTAATACATTTATACTAATATAAATTTGATTTTAGTATATATATTTATTCTTTGATATAAGAGAAAATAGCAATTTTACTTATCTTTGTTCACCAATCATTACAATTATATTAGCCATTTTTCTGTTAAAAAAAAATCTATTTTTGTTTAATCAGCCATTTTTTTATTAAAAAATAAATACTGCCAAATATTTAAATTCTATTCCGAATTTATCTTTCTATAAGTTTTAGAATATGAGAAAAATAAAAAATTAACATAAAATAGCGCTATGATATGTTTAAAAATGTATCAACTTTTTGTGAAAATAATAAAGGGCCAACACGGGATTTTATGTAACAAATTAATGTACTTGGTATGGATTTTTTAACAAACTAATGCTTAACAAACTAATGAAACAATCCCTATTTTTTCGTCATCTAATGCAACAAACTCCACATGGTATGGACTGCATTTAATGTTGTGTTTAAAAAAAATATATTAATTATCATTAATGGCAAGTCATTAATGATAAGACACTTTGACTACAGATTTGACTTGTCATTTTTGTTAAATAGTAATTCTTATTATATATATATATAGAATAGATTCAAAAGACGCACATTCCGGCTCCCCTTGGCCAAGGGCCCAGTCCCTGTTTATTTGTTAAAATTAGCACGTAATTAGTGCGATTTACGGTATAGATATATTAAATGGTCAAAGTTTTATAGGAGATATTCATTTAGCCAATAAAAATAATAATGATTAAATCATTTATTTTTTGCATATTTTAATCAGACTTTCTTTTTTGTGAATCATAAAAAGATAATAAGACTTCCTATATGTAAGTTAATCAATATATTTAATATAAGTAAGATTTTAATATATACAATTATTAATTGATATAGGAAACAATAATAGTTTTACTTAATTTCGTTCACCACATAATCTTAACCATTACTTTGTTTAAATTTTGTGGTCATACAATGTAACTATTATTATTTATAAAAATTATTGAAGTAGTCTTTCTTTATGCAATAATAAGTAAATGCGCGTTAATATTGTTTATTAATGTGACTAATTTAAATATATCTAAACATTTTTAAAATAAAATTTTGTTTATAAAATATTTTGCAATATATATATACACATGTGGTTCTTTCAATTTTTTTAGAATTTATCGTATCTCATAATAATATATACACTTGTTGTTTCCTGGTTCTGTCCCATGTGGAAAGAGAAATGCTATAAGTACATAATAGTGTACATAGAGGTATACATAACACTCACATTAGGTGGATCCTTCCAAAAATAAAAAATCAAGTGGACTCCACTCCATGTGAATGTTATGTATATCTTTATGTACATTTATTATGTACTTGTAGCATTTTTCATGTGGAAAAGGCCAAAGAAGGAACTGACCAAAAAGATTGACATGTAGGGTTTTGAATTGTTTTTAATTTATTCGTGTATATGTGTGTATTTGTATTTGAATTTAACATATCCATTTATTATTGGTAGAACCTTTGAGGCATACCAAGTTATGAAAGGATATTATACCTACAAAGTAGATAAACCCAAGTGGGTTTTTCCTAAGGTAAAATAATTTATCTCACATCTACTTTTTGTAGCGATCGAGTTAAGCCACTTAGAGCGACTCCAACCCTGCGCCACATTACATATTTTACGTCAGAATGAAAAAATTATCTCCACTGCGCTAAATTATCATGCCACAATAGAGAAATATGCAGTGTTGCGCCAGTTTTAGTGCAGCACTGTTCATGCGCCACATTATTTTTCTTTTTTTTTTTATGTAATACTTAATGTAATTTTTATGCTTTTTGTATCTTATATATATATATATATATTAATGTAACACCCCTATACATTATGCATTTTAATGTAATACTTAATGTAATTTTTATGTATTAACTATGCTTTTTGTTTGAAGTTTTATGATTATTTTCTTTTCTTTTTATGATCTATTTTACTATATTATTTGATAAAATATATACCAATAAAAATGTGCAATAGTACAATATTATTAGAATTTCTTAAAATTTCTTAGATAGATTATTGGTAAATGACAATAATACAATATTATTAGAATTTTTTGTTATATAGATTATTGATAAATTCTTGTATAATGTGTATCTGTAAATACTGTGTTATTTAATTTTGAACGACTGGAGATGAATAATATATTTAAATAATATATAAATATACATATATATACCAATTTATTTGAAATAAAAATGAATAAACAATTAATATATTTGAAGTAGAGTAAATGTAGAGATAAGGGTTGGATACCAATATTTCATTCTACTCTAGAGTAGAGATAAGGGCTGGAGATGGCCTTGTATTGATGATGAACATGTTAGAATATTATTTGTGAGTTGTCCCAAATCGTTCATACATGAAAAATAGACCCACTTTATAAGTCTGATGGCTACTCCTCCTTCCACCAATTGATTTTGGGACGGAACCCCATTTAGGCTTCATATAGGCTTTCCCCGTTCATGGTACGCTTCATGTTAGTGGGTCCGCACCCGTTTTTCCCAGTTATATGCTAGAGATCATAAAGCTGGATGTTGTTGACTCGTTCGGAAAGGTAGTTTATTGAAAAAATTTATCTAGTGACTCTTGTGTGTAGACAGTGTTTGAGCTGCTGCTGGAAGCATGCCAGTATTTAATCCTTAGTTCCTTACAAAGTTGAATATGTAATTTCAGTGAAAAGTGTGTAGTACTATTTTTTTTTTTTTNAATTTTTTTTTTTTTTTTTTCTTTTTGCCTTTTGTTTTCTCTTTTGGACTGCATGTGCATTTGTAATGAGTCAATTTTGGTTTGAACTTCCTATTATGCTTATGATTCAGCATTTTGGAAAATAATTGGTTATGTCTGGAATAATAAGCTAAACTAGAAGTGACTAATTATTGAAGTGTCACCTACCTGAGGGATTTCCAAGAGTTGGGTTTTGCCTTGAATTTGTCTATACTCTGCAATGTAAGAATTTGTACGTTGCTTTTATCATTCTTTTTCTCTGTTTTTTTTTTTTTATTGGGTTTCTTGGTTGGTGTTTGTGTAAATTGTAAAGGGTGAATTTGTTCTTAACTTGCATGTTAATAATGCAGCGAGTTACAGAAATTTTTAATGTTTGGAACAGATGTTTATAATTGTACAAACTGTTGAATTTGCAATAATAATAATTATTATAAATTGTGCAGCAGTGTTTTTGTATTGATAATCATATCTAATTTTCAAGTTTAGCAGCTTACTATTGTTATTATTTCCATCCAGTCATTTTATTTTCGTCTTCATCCTATGCTATAATTGTGGGTTGCAAACTTGACAGGTATTTGATATAGAAAAGCCTCACTCGAAGGAGGAAATTGACGATAATCGAAGACGTTGGACCCAATATTTTCTGGACATTACATCTGTTGCTAAATAGGATGATTAGTTATGCTAAGTTTTGTTGTGTACTAATCTATGTTGGGCAAATTGAATGTTGTAATTTGTGTAGTTGAATTCTGCACAATAGTTGTTAGTATTGAAACTTGATGGTGAACTGTGCAATATATTTTATGAACACAGTTTTGTGAACATAGTTGATTGTTACTGCTGGAATTGCTGTATTGAATATTACCGAGACGTGCATTAAGGTGATGTTATCTTCACAAATTACAACTCCAGGTATAATAGATTTAACTAATAAGAGTAATATTGCAGACAAGAATGAAAAAATATCGAAAACCCGAATGTCAATCTGTGATGTCCTCATCCAACACAGCTTTTTGAAGATGTATTTATACCAAAGTCAGTACTAACACACAAGACACAAACAATTTAAGGCATAAATTAACAGTAAACGAATTTCTAAAAAAGTATCACCTCTCTAAAAGAATCTGTGATATTCGACTACATATACAAGTATGCTAGATCATGAGAAAAGAGCAACAACATCAGAAGGGAGCATAAAAGTTTCCCTATTCGTCAATCTTTAGCTCCATATCCCCACCAGCCATGCAGCTGTACAATGAGCCACTACGAAATTAAGAAATGAC